TTTGTTTTTTGGAGGCAGCAGTCTACTCATTTGTTTTTTGGAGGCACCAGTCTACTCATTTGTTTTTTGGAGGCACTGGTCTACCCATTTGTTTTTTGGAGGCAGCAGTCTACTCATTTGTTTTTTGGAGGCACCAGTCTACTCATTTGTTTTTTGGAGGCACAAGTCTACCCATTTGTTTTTTGGAGGCGCCAGTCTACCAGGCACTGGTCTACTCATTTATTTTTTGGAGGCATCGGTCTACTCATTTGTTTTTTGGAGGCACCAGTCTACCCATTTGTTTTTTGGAGGCACCAGTCTACTCATTTGTTTTTTGGAGGCACCAGTCTACCAGGCACTGGTCTACTCATTTATTTTTTGGAGGCATCGGTCTACTCATTTGTTTTTTGGAGGCGCCAGTCTACCAGGCACTGGTCTACTCATTTGTTTTTTGGAGGCAGCAGTCTACTCATTTGTTTTTTGGAGGCACCAGTCTACCCATTTGTTTTTTGGAGGCACCAGTCTACTCATTTGTTTTTTGGAGGCACCAGTCTACCAGGCACTGGTCTACTCATTTATTTTTTGGAGGCATCGGTCTACTCATTTGTTTTTTGGAGGCGCCAGTCTACCAGGCACTGGTCTACTCATTTATTTTTTGGAGGCAGCAGTCTACTCATTTGTTTTTTGGAGGCACCAGTCTACCCATTTGTTTTTTGGAGGCACCAGTCTACTCATTTGTTTTTTGGAGGCACCAGTCTACCAGGCACTGGTCTACTCATTTATTTTTTGGAGGCATCGGTCTACTCATTTGTTTTTTGGAGGCGCCAGTCTACCAGGCACTGGTCTACTCATTTGTTTTTTGAAGGCATCGGTCTACTCATTTGTTTTTTGGAGGCACCAGTCTACCAGGCACTGGTCTACTCATTTGTTTTTTGGAGGCACCGGTCTACTCATTTGTTTTTTGGAGGCACCGGTCTACCAGGCACTGGTCCACTCATTTGTTTTTGGAGGCCCCGGTCTACCACCACAATGCCTTTAAACACTGATCAGCTGTAGGGCGGCCCTTTGAAGCCCCACGGCAAGAGTTTAAACAGTTCTTTTCCTTGTAGCCGATCAGCTGGGGCTCGCGAGGCAGCGAATAGATTGGGGGAAGGGCCAAATAAAAGGTAAGAATAACGTGGTGGTGGGCAGCTCCTGAACAAAGAGAACCAGTTTGGTGACGTCATATCGTCACCGCTACCGGTTCGGCCGAACCGGGAGGAACCCACCACTGCTTCCAACCTTGATACACCTCCTCTTCGTGACCTGTTTTTTTTCCCCCCTTGCTTCGTGATATCCAAAGCGGAACAACTCTGAAGCGGAGTTTTTTTTCCCCCCAACCTTGTGAACTCTCAAAACTTCCTCTTTCCGCTATGTATTCTAGATGGATAGTGATTAATATTTATGTGTATTTACATGTTAGGGTGTAGATATACCCATAAGTGTGCATAGAGCTTATCTATATTTGTGGTATGTATGAGTGCACTTTTGAGAGCAGGCAGCGGAATTACGTTTTTAAGGGGTTGCCAAGAGTTCCCACAAGGGGAAACAAAAAAAAAAAAGACAATAAAGAATAAAATGACGCATTTTGTTCTATGTTCTGTGAGACATACCTGAGGTAGTTTCCCAGCATCCTTTGCAAGGCTTTCTCCCAGAGGTGGAAAGACCGGATCCAAATCCCCAAATGAGCCCCAAGAGAAGGTCACGCAAGAGAAGATTGTATTTTCCAAGAACCAAAGTTCACAAGCTGGATGCAAGTGCCAATTAATTAATCTTGGCCTCAGCCGCCCGGAGTTGCCTTGCGATAAGATGGGCGGCCAATAAATTTGATAAAATAAATTAAAAAAAAAAACCTCCTTCACTTCCTGGTTGAGGACAATGGGCATAGATGTCCAAATACGGAACAGCTGAGAGAACTCAAAAATGGTGTAAGGACTCCTGCTTGGGGTGGGGGGGTGGGGTTGGACTAGATGACCTAACAGGTCCCTTCCAACTCTGTTCATCTGTTAAAAACCTTAGGCTGAAGACAACACCCCCTACCTCCCCTCTTCCCAGTGACTTCAGAGGAGAGGCTTTACACGCACACGTAGGCGTGCACGTTACTTCACACATGTTCGTTCAGTTGTTGTACCTGAACTGCCTGCCACCTAGGCAGCTGCATTGCATTGAATTTTAACAACTAGCTTGGTTTGGTGGTTCAGGCTAGAAACCAGGTGACTGGGAGTTCTAGTCCTGCCTTAGGCATGAAAGCTGACTGGATGACTTTAGGCCAATCACCAGGAGATGGGGAGTTCTAGTCCCACCTTAGGATGAAAGCCAATTGGGTGACTTTGGGCCAATCACCAGGCGATGGTGAGTTCCAGTCCCACCGTAGGCATGAAAGCCAATTGAGTGACTTTGGGCCAATCACCAGGCGATGGTGAGTTCTAGTCCTGCCTTAGGCATGAAAGCTGACTTGGGCCAATCACCAGGTGATGGGGAATTCTAGTCCTACCTTAGGCACAAAAGCTGAGTGGGTGACTTTGGGCCAATCATCAGGCAATGGGGAGTTCTAGTCCCACTGGGCTGGCCTGAGTTAATTTTAAATTGATTTTAAATTGGGTTATCTTAATTTCGGCCAAAATATTTAATTATTTTAATACTGTTCTTAAATTTTGTATGCTTTGTTTTTATCTTGGCTGTGCACCGCCCTGAGTCCTATTGGAGAAGGGCGGTATAGAAATTTAATTAATAAATAATAAATAATAAATAAATGAAAGCCAATTGGCTAACTTTGGGCCAATCACCAGGCGATGGTGAGTTCCAGTCCCACCTTAGGCATGAAAGCCAATTGGGTGACTTTGGGCCAATCACCAGGCGATGGTGAGTTCCAGTCCCACCTTAGGCATGAAAGCCGACTGGGTGACTTTGGGCCAATCACCAGGAGACGGTGAGTTCTAGTCCAGTCCTCTCTCTCTCTCTCTCTCTCTCTCTCTCTCTCTCTCTCTCTCTCTCTCTCTCTCTCTCTCTCTCTCTCTCTCTCTCTCTTTCTCTTTGAGCCCAACCCACTTCACAGGGTTATTGTTGTAGGGAAAAATAGCAGGAGAAAGATACGTAATTAGATACCTTCACCGCCTTGATCTGCTCATAAAGTAAGACAGCCAGGATCAAATTCTAATCATTCATCCCCAAACAGGCTGGATTTGTAGATTCACCCCCCCATCCGCCCTCAAAGATGACCAGAAAAGCAGCTTATATTCGAAACAGACTTTTGCATGCATTTGTAGGTTAACAAGCTTGAGAGTTCTTTAACCTGGTTATGCAAATATAGCCATCGTAGGCTTATTGCAACAGGTTGGCAGAGCGCGATGGGAACAGAAATTAATTGGCAAGCAGGAGCCTTCAGTTTAAGCGCCGGGGGGGTGGGTGGGAGTTCTGATGGCGCCTTTATTAAACAAGTATTATGCATGGCTAATAAATATATCAGGCCGGTGATTGATTGGGCTCCTGCTGAGAAGACTTCTGGGTCAAAAGCAGGGCTGAATCACGCCAGCTAGCTAGAATAGAAGAACAAGAGTTGGAGGTCTTCTAGTCCAGCCCCCTGCTGAAGCAGGAGATGCCATTTCAGACAAGTGACTGCCTAGTTTCTTCTTAAAAACAAGTTTGCGCAGGCGTGTCAAAAGACAAGACACACGTGTTCAAACTTGGGTCATTTTGTGAATAAAGGTAAAGGTTCCCCTCGCACATCTGTGCTAGTCGTTCCCGACTCTAGGGGAAGACGGTGCCCGTCTCCGTTTCAAAGCCGAAGAGCCAGCGCTGTCCGAAGACGTCTCCGTGGTCATGTGGCCGGCATGACTCAACGCCAAAGGCGCACGGAAAACGCTGTTCCCTTCCCACCAAAGGGGGTCCCTATTTTTTTCTACTTGCATTTTTTTTTTTTACCTGCTTTCGAACTGCTAGGTTGGCAGAAGCTGGGACAAGTCACGGGAGCTCACCCTGTTATGCGACACACTAGGGATTCGAACCGCTGAACTGCCGACCTTTCTGATCGACAAGCTCAGCGTCTTAGCCCCTGAGCCTCCGTGCCCTCTCTTTGTGAACTTATTTGTTTGCGAATAAGGACGGTTAAAAAAAAACACCCAAATCGTCTTAATAGATCTCTAGCTAGGATTGGGTGGATGAAACATCTACGAAGGCTTCCAAAATTCTTCCCACAGGCATTAGGCAAAGCTCCGCCCTCACAAACACTTCCCAGTCACACCCCCCTTCCTTGCATTCCCCCCCTTGTGTATCCTGTTTTCCTATTGATTGTTCCCATAGAAGCATTTTAAAACAGGAAGCTGCTGCAGTTGCAAATCAAATTGCTAGACTTTTAGCAATTGTTGGGTTGGCACAGGGACGGCAAAATTAAAGCCCCCCCCAGACTAATTTGCCTTTTTCATCAGGTTCCCCCCCCCATGTGCTCTTAAGCCCCCCACCTCCACCCCACCCAAGATCACCTCTGCTTGACCCTCTTAGTAAACTGGGTTTTGTGTAGAGTCCAGAGGTTGGCAACCTTAAACACTCAGAGAGCCATTTGGACCCGATTCCCACAGAAAAGAAAACACCGGGAGCCACAAAAACCCTTCCCGTGCCCGACTATTTCCTGAGCGGCCACAAAACTAGCCTAGGTAGTCGAATTAAAAGTTCTGTTTTCTTCCGAAACTTTTCTTTTCTTGGATTTATCCCTGGTTGGCCTCCCGGGGTTCGAAAAGCTTAATAAATTGTGCGTCGGTGGGTGTCACAATTTGGCAGCCGTGATGCATTATTTTGAGCGACAGGGAGCCGCAGCGGAGGGATGAAAGAGCCACACGTGGCTCCAGAGCTGCGGGTTGCTGACCCCTGGGCATAGACTTTCAAGCTTTCAGGGCTCTCCTGGCTGGGAGGGGTAGTCGAAGAGACCCACGGGAAGGTTCCCAAGCTCTATCGGAGCAGCAGATCCAAAGAGGAAGGACGCAGGCCCGTCAACCAAAGAATGGAGCAATCTTTATTTCTTATCAAAAGCCTCGAGGCAGAATACTTTCCACACCACATACTTTCAAAGTTCGGGGTAGTTATCGCTTCTGGCTTTGCCCTCCTCCCGTAAAAAAGCTGCGGGACTTAACAAAAGCTCCGTAATACCAAGGCCAAAAGGCTGAGCCGAGCTGCGGAGGGGTGAATATAGAAAAGGCAGCACCGTGGCTACCCCATTTTTTCTTCTGGACTGTCTAATCGGATTGACCTTGGACTGGCTTTGTCTCCTCCCCAACCCCGCCTTGACTGATTTAAGGATTTTTGCAAGAGAAACAGAGTAGAGCATGGGGCGTGTCCTCTCTTAACACCATCGCCCCCTCCTCAAACTAAAAAACTGACCCCAGGAAGCGTAGATAAGTCTTCCTTCCAAGAACCCCATATTCCCCAGGGGTGATTTATTATTTTTGGGGGGATTGAATCACCTGATTTTTTCCTGTCCTTTCAGATTGGGGTGGGCGTGAGTGCACGGCCATCAAAAATCCAAACCCAAAATTAAGAAATAGATGGCGCAGTTTACCACCTATTCTATAGCATCTCATCATTGGTCTTTTTTTGGGATGAAGCAAAATAACCCCCTGAAACTTTTAGATAAGACATTCTGTGATTATTTTGGTCCAGAGAAGAAAAGTGCGAAACCTGGGTTTCGATTCCAAGGATTAGCTGCCTTAAAAGGCCTTTTTTTGGGGGAGGTTGGGAAGGGCTAGGATCTTTTCAAAATATTTGGAGAAGAAGATTGGGGGAAGAATGTGGAGGGGAAAACATAACACCGTCTTGTCTTGCGACACGAATTGGTCCCGAGTGGATGGAAGAGGGGAGGTGGGGAAAAAACATATATCAAGATTTGAGCATCCTTGGAGAAAAGAAGTGAGATGATGGAGAGGCAGGGGGAAAAAAATATAATTGTCGGCCGAGACGGGAAAAGCAGGAGCGGGGAGATACGACCGAAGAAACCCTTAGAGGGATTTTGTTTTTGTTTTAATATTTAAAAAAACAAAATGGCCAAAAGGAGGAAAAATGGGAGTTCTAATCCGAAAGGATTGTTTCGTAGAGAAAAAGAAACTCGGAAAGTTCTCTGGAGGAAAAAAAAAAAAAAAAGGAAGATATTGGAGGAGGCGAAGGGGAAGGCTGGGACGGTGGGCTCAAAGGATCTGACGGGGCATCCCGTAACCCGTCATGCCCGCCTGGGAAGCCCCTCGATTCGTCCCCATCTGCAGCCCGATGACGTTCTGTCCCTCTCGGAGTTTGTCATCCGAGAAAGCTCGGCGATTCTCCTGGGATTTCCTAACAACACAAAGGAGAAAAAATAAAAAGTCAGAATGAGGACGGGGAAATTTCCCAGGTTGAAAGGCGATGGTGGTTTAATGGTAGTTTAAGCAAGAAATCCCCAAGGCTGACACCTTAAGGGACAACAACACAGGTGGTCTCGATTTAACAATCATTCGTTTAGTGACTGTCTGAATTTACGACGGCACTGAAAAAAGTGATGGTCGTTTTTCACACTTAACGGCAGGGGTGGGCTTCAAAACTTTTAGCAAGGGGTTCTCTGCCTGGTTGTTTGTGGGCGTGGCCTAGTCAGCCTCCTGCACCATGGCGGGGGGGGGAGAGCGTTTTTGTCCTCCCCAGGTTCCGGGGGCTTTTCTTGAGCCTCCAGGAGGGCGAAAACAGCCTTCCCAGGCTCCAGAGGCCGGAAACGGGCCTCCGGAGCCTTCCCAAATTTCCAGCCTTCCCAAACTTCCAGTTTTTCGCCCTCCCCGAGCCTCCATGCGTGCCCTGCACTTACCTGGATCCAAAACGGGCCACGTGGGGACTCCTGGGAGGGGAGGGATAGGCAGGGCCAGCCAGGAGTGGGATTTGGGGGTTCTCTGAACTGCACAGAATCTTAGCTAGAAGATTCTCCCGAACCCCCAACAGCCCACCCCTGCTTAACGGCCATTGCAGCATCCCTACCCTCTGGTCACGTGATCAAAATTTGGATGCCGGGCAACAGGTAATGTACAGGTCGTCCCGGACTTACGACCACAACGGAGCCCAACTTTTCTGTTGTCAAGCGAGACATTTGTTAAGCGGGTTTTTTGCCCCATTATTTTACGACTTTCCTTGCCTCCGTTGTTAAGTGAAATCGCTGCCGTTGATAACATTATTAGCACGGTCGTTAAGTGGATCCGGCTTCCCCGTGGATTTGGCTTGGCCAAAGGTCGCCAAAGGGGGAAACCCGTGGGACACCACAGCAACGGTCGTTAAGTATGAACCCATTGCCAAGCATCCTGAGTTTTGATCACTCATGGTGGACGCTGCAACGGTCGTTAAGTGTGTGAAAAAAACACTTAAGCCAGGCTGGCTTAAAATTTTTATTGGTGAATTTTATGGATAAGGGGTTTTAAATTGGCGGAAAGCCATTGGATTTAATTTTGTTTTAAATGCATTTTAATGTTTGTATTGGATGTTCCTTAATTGTGGCTGTTCACCGCTCCGAGTCCTTCGGGAGAGGGGGCGGTATAAAAATTTAAATAAATAAATAAATAAATAATGGTCACTAAGTCACTTTCCCCCCCCAGTGCCGTTGTAACTTTGAATGGCCACTAAATGAACTGTTGTAACTCAAGGACTACCTGTATTTAATTTAATTTCCTGGCTGCAGTTTTTCCCCATCTGCGGTGACCTTGGAGCCCAGGACTTAATAAAATACAAATAATCCTTGGAGCCTTGGTAGTACAGTGGTTTAATGCACCCTGTTATTAACACAGCTGCCTGCAATTACTGCAGGTTCGAATTTCTCCAAGGCTCAAGGTTGACTCAGCCTTCCATCCTTTCTAAGGTAGGTGAAATGAGGACCCAGTTTGTGGGGGCAATAAGCTGACTTTGTATAAATATACAAAAGGATGAAGGCTATTGCTTAACGCATTGTAAGCCGCCCTGAGTCTCCGGAGAAGGGCGGCATATAAATCAAATTAAAAAAAAAAAAAAATCAATACCGCCCCGTCTCGGCTTTCCAATCGATTGCAAAAACCTGGTTTGCAAAAGCCCACTTACTTCGGGAACCAGTTGGGGTCTCCCGCGAAGAAGCCATCCTCTTTGGAGACGGCTAAACCTCCCAGGTTCATCAGAGTCCTCTGAACGCAAGCCATGTTCTTCCCTGCAGGGTGGAAAGAGGCCAGGAAAAAGGTTTGCAGGTTTGCAGTGAAAGGAAAAAGAAAAAGAAAAAAAAAATTAGTTTGTAGCCATCCCTCGAAAACAAAACATTTCATTTCCTTCCAAGCGTTGCAACATAAAAAAAAAACCAAACAGTATTGCAGTTTTGAAAACATTCACTTAAATCGGATACTCTTTGAAAACAAAACGAAACAAAAAAGTGAGTATCAAAAACATTCAATGCTACAAAAATGACTTCGGGTCATTTTTGACGCACGGAAAACGCTCTTCCCTTCCCACCAAAGGTGGTCCCTATTTTTCTACTTGCATTTTGTTTTTTGTTTTTTTACCTGCTTTCGAACTGCTAGGTTGGCAGAAGCTGGGACAAGTCACGGGAGCTCACCCCGTTCGGCGGCAGCACCAGGGGATTCGAACCGCTGGAACTGCCGACCCTTTCGATCCGACAAGCTCAGCGTCTTAGCCGCTGAGCCACCGTGTCCCTCTTTTTTTTTTTTTTTTGAAACATACCTTCCCATAAATCCACGGTTTGGAAAATATCCGACGCCAGGATGCCGTAACTCTCGGCCGCGCGTAAGAACTGAGAAATCATTTCCATTTGTTTGAAGGCCATGGTGAAAGCCTGGATCTTGGCCACAGGTCCCTTGCCCTTCGGATACAGGCTGTTGATCAGCAGGCAGAGTACCTAACAGGAACAGGAAGCACCGTGCATTTAATTTCCTCCTTCCCTTTGCCGATTGTCTTAACTTCTCTGCTCAAGGATCAAAAACCAGATGGAGTTGCTCTCCTTGAGCCAAAAAAATGCGATGCATAATATCCTGCGGGGTGATGCAAAGCAGATTTGAGGTCTCTGCCATAAAAGCTTTACAAAACCATTGGTCAAATGGTCATTTTGTGTGTGTGTGTGTGTGTGTGTGTGTCTAAATATCAAGGAACAAGTTGCTAGTCCCTATTACAAAAACATACATCTAAAAAAAACCCCTTTTCGCTACTAAACGATCGGTCAAACGGTGATTTTGTGTGTAAATGTCAAGGAACAAATTGCTAGTCCCTATTAGAAAAACATAACATCTAAAAATCTCTTCTCTACTAAACGATCCATCAAATGGGGATTTGGTGTTGAAATGTCAAGGAACAAGTTGCTAGTCCCTATTAAGCAAAACATAGATTTAAAAATCTTTACTCGTCTCTACTAAATGATCAGTCAAATGGTGATTTTGTGTGTAAATGTCATGGAATAAATTGCTAGTCCCTATTAAGAAAAACATACATCTAAAAATCTTTTCTCTACTAAATGATCAAATTGTGATTTTGTGTATAAATGTCAAGGAACAAGTCGCTAGTCCCTATTATAACAACATACATCTAAAAATCTCTTCTCTACTAAACGATCAATCAAATGGGGATTTTGTGTCTAAATGTCAAGGAACAAATTGCTAGTCCCTATTAAGAAAAATATAGATTTAAAAATCTTTATTTGTCTCTACTAAATGATCAATCAAATGTTGATTTTGTGCCTAAATGTCAAGGGAGGCTAATCGCTAGTGGAAAAACGTGGATCGAAGAAAAAATCTCTGCTTTTCTCTACTAAATGATCACTCAAATGGTGGTTTTGTGTCTTAAATGCCAAGGAATAAGTTGCTAGCCCCTAATAAAAAAAGCGTGGCTCTAAAAATCTGCTCTGCTTTATGGCTTCTACTAATCCTTCCATATAGTAGCCTAGCTATTTTTTTTTTTAAAAAAATGATTTATTTTAAAAAGCCCACAAGAGAGTTTCAAACTTATTTATATCTGCATCAACATCTGGAGTCTTTTCTATGCCTCTCCCCTGACTTTATATAACTGATTTAACAAGAGCTGTTAGAACTTTTTCTTTGAATGCAAATTCTTCCCTTTAGGCCTTTAGAGTTTCCCAACGTGGGTGGGCTTAATTCATGTACTTTGTTTTGTTTTGTTTTAAATCTTCCACGCCCTTTTGCCAACTCCACGGTGGAATTGACCAAAATAACCCTCTGAAATAATTTTTGACAGCCAGTTTTGCTTCATCCGAAACAGCGAGAGGAGGCAGAAAAAAAATTGAAGAGGCGACAGAGCAAAATAAAATAAAATTATAAAATAAAATAAAATCCTCACCGTGCCATCTTTCAGCCATTTTTGGAAATTCTCTTTACCCGGCTCAGGCTCCCCAATGTCTGGCCCACACTGGGCCTTGATCCATTGGATGAGAATCTGTTCCAGATCAGGATCATACTGTCGGTCGATTTTTTGCTGAACCTCCCGACTGAGTCCGTAAGCAGGGCCTCGATTTGCCATGACGCTAAGGTGGGTGGGTAGGTGATGGATTTCCAAAAAATGTGATCTGGGAGAGAGAGAAGGGAGGGAAGACAATTTTAGGATTAATTGACTGGGTATTCCAGAATTTATTAAGGTCCAAGACAGAGTTTAACAACTTTTAAGGTGGCTGGATTTCAACTCCCAGAATTCCCCAATCAGCCTGCTTTAAGATGAGTGGACTTCATCTCCCAGAATCCCCCAGTCGGCATGCTTTAAGAAGAATGGACTTCAACTCCCAGAAGATGGATGGACTTCAACTCCCAGAATCCCCCAGCCAGCATGCTTTAAGATGGATGGATTTCAACTCCCAGAATGCCCCAGCCAGCATGCTTTAAGATGGGTGGACTTCAACTCCCAGAATGCCCCAGCCAGCATGCTTTAAGATGGGTGGACTTCAACTCCCAGAATGCCCCAGCCAGCATGCTTTAAGATGGGTGGACTTCAACTCCCAGAATGCCCCAGCCAGCATGCTTTAAGATGGGTGGACTTCAACTCCCAGAATGCCCCAGCCAGCATGCTTTAAGATGGGTGGACTTCAACTCCCAGAATGCCCCAGCCAGCATGCTTTAAGATGGGTGGACTTCAACTCCCAGAATGCCCCAGCCAGCATGCTTTAAGGTGGATGGATTTCAACTCCCAGAATGCCCCAGCCAGCATGCTTTAAGATGGGTGGACTTCAACTCCCAGAATGCCCCAGCCAGCCTGCTTTAAGATGGATGGATTTCAACTCCCAGAATGCCCCAGCCAGCATGCTTTAAGATGGGTGGACTTCAACTCCCAGAATTCCCCAGCCAGCATGCTTTAAGAGGAATGGACTTCAACTCCCAGAATTCCCCAGCCAGCATGCTTAAAGATGGATGGATTTCAACTCCCAGAATTCCCCAGCCAGCATGCTTTAAGATGGGTGGACTTCAACTCCCAGAATCCCCCAACCAGCATGCTTTAAGATGGGTGGACTTCAACTCCCAGAATCCCCCAACCAGCATGCTTTAAGATGGGTGGACTTCAACTCCCAGAATCCCCCAACCAGCATGCTTTAAGATGGGTGGACTTCAACTCCCAGAATTCCCCAGCCAGCCTGCTTTAAGATGGGTGGACTTCAACTCCCAGAATTCCCCAGCCAGCATGCTTTAAGAGGAATGGACTTCAACTCCCAGAAGATGGATGGACTTCAACTCCCAGAATGCCCCAGCCGGCATGCTTTAAGATGGATGGACTTCAACTCCCAGAATGCCCCAGCCAGCATTATTTATGATGGTTGGACTTCAACTCTCAAGTTTACATCCATGCTGGCCAGAGAATTCTGGGAGTCAAAAGTCCACAAGTCTTCAAAGTTGTCAATTTTGGACCTTCCTGTTATAAATCAAAGGATCTAAAATCAAAGCACAGCAAAGAAACTCAAAACGTGCAAAATAAAACTTTCCAAGTTTTGGCAAGGTAACTTCAGCTTTCGCCGCAGAAGACAGGTCTGCGTCTCAAACCACCTGTCCTGATGTGCCTTTTGGCCCAGCAGCTGGAAACTAGGTGAGAATAGCTCTCCGTACGCGCTCAGGGTCATCTTTCTGACCCCATTCAGATTGGCATCCGGAGCCAAGGGGATTAAGGGAAACGCTTCCACCAAAGCTGGTGATCAACGCTTTGGTCTGGATTCCTATCTCGGCAAGCCTGGCAACACCCCGTCTCCTTACTCAGCAGGGTGTGGCAAACCCTCCGATGAGATTCGAAACCGGATCTCCTGACTCACTTTCTAGACCCTGATTAAAAAAAACAGCCGTTTCGGACCCAGCTGGAGAAACGAATCTGGCCCTGTTTCTCTTCTCTTCTCCAAGCCTTGATCAGTTCCTCTCACTCCAGAAATGTGAGTTCGGAGTATAGGTAGTCCTTAACTTAACGACCACACAACGGAGCCCCAAATTTCCCATCGCTAAGCAAGACGGTCGTTAAGTGAGTCTCGCTCAATTTTACAACTTTTTTGTTTTTTATTTTTACAAAATGAGATTTTGGGACAAGGGCAGAGAAGAGTAACTAAGGAGATTAAAGGCCTGGAGACTAAAAGGTATGAAGAACGGTTGCAGGAACTGTTTTATGAAGAGAAGGACTAGGGGTGACATGATAGCAGTCTTCCAATATCTCAGGGGCTGCCCCAAAGAAGAGGGAGTCAAGCTATTCTCCAATGCACCTGAGGGCAGGACAAGAAGCAACGGGTGGAAACTAATCTAGGAGAGGAGCAATTTAGAACTAAGAAATTTCCTGACAGTGAGAACAATTAATCAGTGGAACTACTTGCCACCAGAAGTTGTAGGTGCTTCATCACGGGAGGTTTTTAAGAAAAGACCGGACAGCCATTTCTCTGGAATGGTCTAGGGCAGGGGTCTGCAACCTTAAACACTCAAAGAGCCATTGGGACCCGTTTCCCACAGAAAAAAAAAAAAAAAACACCGGGAGCCACAAAACCTGAGTGGGCGTGGCCAACTCGACGTCACTCACTTCCACCAGTCACATGACCTCCTAGCCGTGCCTACCCAGCGGGTCAGAGAACCGGTTGTTAAAAAACACTGGGGAACCACAAAATCCTTTTGATATATCTCTCTCTCCCCCTCCCCACTCCCTCTTTCTTCCCCTCTCTCTCTCTCTGTATCTCTCTATGTCTCTTTCTCTCCACTCTCTCTCTATGTCTCTCCCTCTCTCTCCCTCTCTCGGTATCTCTCTATGTCTCTTTCTCTCCACTCTCTCTCTGTATCTCTCCCTCTCTCCCCCTCTGTATCTCTCTATGTCTCTTTCTCTCCCCTCTCTCTGTATCTCTCCCTCTCTCCCCCTCTCTCTGTATCTCTCTATGTCTCTCCCTCTCTCTGTATCTCTCCCTCTCTCCCCCCCTCTCTCTATCTCTCTATGTCTCTTTCTCTCCCCTCTCTCTCTGTCTTTGTCTCTCTCTCTCCACTCTCTCTGTATCTTTGTCTCTCTCTCTCCCCCTCTCTCTGTATCTCTATGTCTCTCCCTCTCTCTGTATCTCTCCCTCTCTCCCCCTCTCTCTGTATCTCTCTATGTCTCTCCCTCTCTCTGTATCTCTCCCTCTCTCCCCCCTCTCTCTATCTCTCTATGTCTCTTTCTCTCCCCTCTCTCTGTATCTCTCCCTCTCTCCCCCCCTCTCTCTATCTCTCTATGTCTCTTTCTCTCCCCTCTCTCTGTATCTCTCCCTCTCTCCCCCCCTCTCTCTATCTCTCTGTCTCTGCCCTGGCCACTTCTTCATCCCCCTGCCATTGCCCTTACCTTCCTTCTCAGGCCAGGCGAGGAGTGACCGAGAGGGGAGGGCGAGGGGAGGGCTTAGCCAGTGATGGGATCACCCGACAGGGAGCCACAGCAGAGGGCCCAAAGAGCCACATGCAGCTCCGGAGCCGCAGGTTGCTGACACCCAGTCTTGGGTCTCCTGCTTGAGCAGGGGGCTGGACTAGAAGACCTCCAAGGTCCCTCCCAGCTCTATTCTGACTGGATTCTGAGATTCCTCTTTTGAAGAGCCCATCTTACAAGGCGTTGGGAAAAAAAAAAAGAGTCCCTCAAGGGCCTGGCACACCCTAATTGCCTGTGCCCCCCACCCCACCCCCTTTGCAGGACAAAAAGGATTCCAAGGCTCAAAGTTGGGGCAGGCCTGATGGGTTACATCAGCCTTACCTGGGGCAAATCCAAGGTGTTCTGTGACTGGAGGGGATACCCGTTAATGACTCCTCTCAGCCCCTCCCTCCTTTCTTCCGCGGTCCAATTCTTACATCATGAGCCTTGTGGCTTTGTTTTAAATGTTCCTCCGTCTCCAGTTCCAAATCTGATAAATGGGGAGCCAGTTTCTCAAAGCAGGGCTAAAGGCAGAGATGCTTCGGCTAATTGTCTTTTTTTTTTAAAAAAAATGATAATAATAATTGCGAGCGGCAGATAATCTTTCTAACGCTCTTAGACTGAGTGGGTACGAAGTCTGAAATATCTCCCTCACCCCACCCCATCTCTCCCTGGATGAATTTCCCACCAGATAGATCCTGTGGGAGTTGCAAAGGGGGACAGGAGTGTCCACACCATTTTGGGGGGGCCCCCCGTTGAGAAGATCAGCCCGTGGGAATTTTTCCAACATTTTTCCCGGGCGTCCCCATCAAGGCGCAGGTGAGGGATAGTGGGAGGGAGGCAGGAAAAAAAAAACAGCTAATAGCCTTAGCCATCGAAACTGGCTGGGTGACTTTGGACCAATCACAAGGAGACAGTGAGTTCTAGTTCTGTCTTAGCATGAAAGCTGGCTGGGTGACTTTGGACCAATCACAAGGAGACAGTGAGTTCTAGTCCTGTCTTAGCATGAAAGCCAGCTAGGTGACTGAGCCAATCACCTGGAGACGGTGAGTTCTAGTCCTACCTTAGGCATGAAAGCTGGCTGGGTGAGTTTGGGCCAATCACCAGGAGACAGTGAGTTCTAGTCCCACCTTAGGCATGAAAGCCAGCTAGGTGACTTTGAGCCAATCACTTGGAGACGGTGAGTTCTAGTCTTGCTTTATGCATGAACACCAGCTGAATGACTTTTGAATCTTTCTCTCTCTCAGCCCAACCCACCTCACAGCGTTGTTGTTGTTGTGGGGAAAATAGGAAGAAGGTGTGTTGGGAAAGTGTGTGTACGTTCCCAGCCTTGCATTATTTGTAAAAAAAATAAAAATAAAATAAAGGCAGGATTCTGACAAGCAAACAAGTTAATCATCTGCAAGGAAGGACATACTATCCTTTTAGGCAAAGGTTTCTCAGACTTTCAGCTGGGTGGATTTCATGTCCCGGAATTGAAGAAAAAAAGGGGGGATTTCTTTTAAAGGAATCCCTCCAAGCAAACAACTTGGAAGGGGGGGGGAAAAAAACAGGAGAGAGCCACACAAAAGTTTTAAAGGGAAGCGGAAATAATTTAAGGGATGGAGAAAGGCTAACTCCTCTGGCCAAGATGCACAGTGGGTTTTTTTTTTTAATATATATATGCAGGTCGGTTCCCACAGCTGTGCCAACTTTCCAGCC